CGTAATATTTTCTTGTATTATCAAAAATACCAGGATTTCAACGTTTTATCTTTGTTTTTCTTGTTTGTAGACTATAAACGCGTGTAATATTACTGCCTGTTATTTGAGCTCAAATGTTCTGAAATGTGATTTATCGAATTAAAAATTTTTAATTTTGGATATTTTTGCTTCCGGCTTTAATTATTTTATTCAGTGGGACAAGTATTTTTGTTTTGCAGATTAAAAATGTATTGATAGCTCTAATTGATCGCCTCGCAATTTATGCTTCTTGCGAAGGTGCTGAAATTCCGGCCGATCTACCGCTTTTCGATATTTTCTCGAAGCAAACAGAATCGGTGATAATGAGCCGCGACGGCATGCCACCAGAAGACATCGTTTCTTTGCAGGTTTGATAGAATTTCAGTAGCCTCACAATCATTTTTCTCCCTTCTCTGTGTTTTTTCTACTGAACAAGTGTACTGTTTCATCGAAGGTCGTTTTTTTTAATGAGTTCTACCACAGAACTATATAAATTACACTTAACGAATGTGTAAGCCAAATGTAGCAGTCACGTTGACCCTGAAAGCCTAACTGGCGAAGGCGCGATAGAATACAGAAGAAAAGAATAGTATGAGGAAAAAAAGCAAGAGGGAGATAAGACGTTTTGGTCCATCAAGTCATATATGTCTTAACACCGCGACAGGACCTCGTCAGTATGGCGGTTATGTAAGTTCTTGCTTTTTTTTTCAGACTGCTGTTGTGAATTTTGCATTAAAATGTTACCCGGAAAGAACGGATTATGCGGATACAGTTTTCACAACAACAGCAGATGTCTTCACGAAATTAAAACTTGGGAGGTAAGTTGCCGAGTTACAAAAAGATCGGATGTCTTTGCTTTACCTTTGATTTTTTGCGAAAAATGCGGCTGCACGATTGAAATATCTCGTAAGAGTATTCATGATAACAGCTTAGTTATGAATTTACCTTAACAGAATAATTTTTAGCTGATTTTCACAGTCTGTTTATGGATTTATGATTGGCATAACGGCTCATTCCGGATTTCATGTTTCAGTCCCAAATTAATAGTAATTACAGCTTTTTAAATCTTTGAAATCGTTTCGCGCCTAGATGAATAGTGAGGGCTGCCAAATTTTTATACTTTATGTTATATATATTATCATTACAATCTTCATTATATTGTGCTCTTCGGGATATTGTACGATTTTGTTTGATTTTTTTTCTTTTATACACCGATTTTAAGGACACCGTATAATGATATTGTTGGCCGTGAGATCATGAAATTTTTACGCATTCCTGTGGATCAGTACGACGATGTTGTTCAACTGCTGCACCTGGAACACTACAGCGACGTGATCGAGCTGCTGGATTACCGTGGTCGGACACAGGCAGCCTCATACGTTCTACAGAATATGATTGAAAATGTAAGTTAAAAATAATGAAAAAAGAACAGTGAAGTATAAAGTAAGCGGGGAAAAGCGTGATTTTTGCTTATCGCTCTCAGAATCGTAGATGTAGAGGGAAAATTGCGGAAAAAATTGACCTAGAAATTTCCCTAGAGATTGTGGAATTTTATCCTTGAACTAAACGCGAAATTATTTCAAACAAAAAAAAGTTCCAGAAAATGCATACAGAAATGTTTCATCCTCTTTTATGTCTCTCATTTCAGGACACAGCTCTGACAACAATGGAAGAAGTGGAGAAGTTGTTGCATCTGATCGAATCATTGCTTGTGGACCAGGAAGACCAGCCAAATGATTTAGAGAACAGTGAAGATTTTGTGGACGAGCAAATACTTGTTGCACGACTGGTCAACCTTATCCATGCACCGTCAACCGAT